TCGTCCGGGGGGACCCCAAGGCGTTCCCAGGCCAGCTGAGAGACATAGTCCCTCCAGTGTGTCCTGGGTCTTCCCCGGGGCCTCCTCCCAGTGGGACGTGCCCGGAACACCTCCCCAGGGAGGCGTCCAGGAGGCATCCGGAACAGATGCCCGAGCCACTTCAACTGGTTCCTCTCGACGTGGAGTAGCAGCGGCTCTACTCCGAGCTCCTCCCGTGTGACTGAGCTCCTCACCCTATCTCTAAGGGAGCGCCCAGCCACTCTGCGGAGGAAGCTCATTTCGACCGCTTGTATACGCGATCTCGTTCTTTCGGTCATTACCCAAAGCTCATGACTATAGGTGAGGGAGGGAACGAAGATTGACCGGTAAATCGAGAGCTTTGCCTTTCGGCTCAACTCCCTCTTCACCACGACGGTCCGATACAGCGACCGCATCACTGCGCACGCTGCACCGATCCGCCTGTCAATCTCGCGCTCTATCCTTCCCTCACTCGTGAACAAGACCCCGAGATACTTGAACTCCTCCACTTGAGGAAGGACCTCTCCACCCACCCAGAGAGGGCAAGGCACCCTTTTCCGGTCGAGCACCATGGCCTCAGATTTGGAGGTGCTGATTCTCATCCCAGCGGCTTCACACTCGGCTGCAAACCGTCCCAGTGCATGCTGCAGGTCCTGGTTCGTTGGAGCCAACAGGACAACATCGTCCGCAAACAGCAGAGATGAAATCCTGTGGTCGCCAAACCGGACCCCCTCCGGCCCCTGGCTGCGCCTAGAAATTCTGTCCATGAATACAGTGAACAGAACCGGTGACAAAGGGCAGCCCTGGCGGAGGCCAACATGCACCGGGAACAGGTCCGACTTACTGCCGGCAATGCGAACACAGCTCTGACTCCGGTCATACAGGGATCGAACGGCCCTCAATAGAGGACCCCGGACCCCATACTCCCGGAGGACCCCCCAAAGGACACCCCGGGGAACACGGTCGAACGCCATCTCCAAATCCACAAAGCACATGTGGACAGGTTGAGCGAACTCCCATGAACCCTCGAGTATCCGATGGAGAGTATAGAGCTGGTCCAGTGTTCCACGGCCGGGACAAAAACCACACTGCTCCTCCTGAATCCGAGATTCGACCAACGGCCGTAGCCTCCTCTCCAGTACCTTGGAGTAGACCTTACCGGGGAGGCTGAGGAGTGTGATCCCACGATAATTGGAACACACCCTCCGGTCCCCCTTCTTGTAGAGAGGGACCACCACCCCGGTCTGCCACTCCATTGGCACCGCCCCCGATCGCCACGCGATGTTGCAGAGACGTGTCAGCCAAGACAGTCCTACAACATCCAGAGACTTTAGATAGTCAGGACGAATCTCATCCACTCCCGGCGCCTTGCCACCATGGAGGCTGCCAACCACCTTGGTGACCTCTGCCAGGGAGATGGAAGTATCTGCCCCAACATCCTCAGCCTCTGCCCCCGGGGCGGAGGACGTGACTGTAGGATTGAGGAGAACCTCAAAGTATTCCTTCCACCGTCCGACAATATCCCCAGTCGAGGTCAACAGCTCTCCACCCGCACCATACACTGTGTTGGCAAAGAACTGCTTCCCCCTCCTGAGGCGCCGGACGGTTTGCCAGAATCTCTTCGAGGCCGACCGATAGTCATGCTCCATGGACTCTTCGAACTCCTCCCAGTCCCGGGTTTTTGCCTCTGCAACAGCCCGGGCCGCGGCACGCTTGGCCAGCCGATACTGGACAGCTGCCCCAGGAGTCCCACGAACCATCATGGCTTGATAGGACTCCTTCAGCCTGACGGCATCCCTTACTGCCGGTGTCCACCACCGGGTTCGGGAGTTACCACCGGGACCAGCACCAGAGACCTTACGACCACAGCTACGAGCCGCCGCATCGGCGATAGAGGAAGAGAACATGGTCCACTCAGACTCGATATCCCCCTCCTCCGCCGGGACCTGGGAGAAGCTCTCCCGGAGGTGTGAGTTGAAAGTCCGTCTGACAGGGGGTTCAGCGAGACGTTCCCAGCAGACCCTCACTACACGCTTGGGTCTGCCAGGTCTGACCGGCCCCTGCCAGCGGATCCAACTCACGACCAGGTGGTGATCGGTTGACAGCTCCGCCCCTCTCTTCACCCGAGTGTCCGAGACACACGGCCTAAGGTCAGATGATACAACAACAAAGTCGATCATCGACCTCCGGCCTAGGGTGTCCTGGTGCCACGTGCACTGGCGGACACCCTTGTGCTCGAACATGGTGTTCGTGATGGACAAACTGTGACTAGCACAGAAGTCCAACAACTGAACACCACTCGGGTTCAGATCAGGGGGGCCGTTCTTCCCGATCACCCCTCTCCAAGTGTCACTGGCATTTCCCACATGGGCGTTGAAGTCCCCCAGGAGAATAACGGAGTCCCCTGTCGGTGCACCGTCCAGTACCCCTCCCAAGAACTCCAAGAAGGCCGGGTACTCTGCACTGCCGTTGGGCCCGTAGGCCGTCACAACAGTGAGAGACTTGTCCCCCACCCGAAGGCGGAGGGACGCGACCCTCTCATTCACTGGGGAGAACTCCAACACGTGGCGGCTGAGATGGGGGGCAATGAGTATGGCCACCCCCGCTCGCCGCCTCTCCCCGTGAGAAACACCAGAAAAGTGGAGCATCCAACCCCTCTCAAGGAGTTGGGTTCCAGAGCCCAAACTGTGTGTGGAGGTGAGGCAGACTAGTTGGTATCTCTCAACCTCCCCCACGAGCTCGGGCTCCTTCCCCCCCAGTGAGGTGACGCTCCACGTCCCAAGAGCCAGATGTTGCGCGTGCAGACTGGGTCGCCGAGGTCTCTGCTTTCGACCGCTGCCCAGTCCTCTCTGCACCGCTTCGCCACCACGGACCCCTCTGCGGGTGGTGGGCCCACAGGAGGGACTGCCCACGTCGTCCATTCGGGCTGAGCCCGGCCGGGCCCCGTGGGCTAAGGCCCGGCCACCAGGCGCTCGCATACGAGCCCCGACCCCAGGCCTGGCTCCAGGGTGGGGCCCCGGCTGCGCCATGCCGGGCAACGTCACTGTTGTCATATTTGTGCTGCACACCAGACTCATTCTAGGCAATGGGGGTGAAGTGTCTTGCCTAAGAACACAACGGCAGTTTGGCACTTATAATGACAGTGGTTCCCATATCCAGCAGCTGAGAGCCACTTTGACAACAGCTCAGCAAACGCTGTAACGTGGCCATAATCTGACCATAGATTTGCGGGTGTTACCTGCTTTTTGAAAAAGCAAGTTTGCATTTGGGCCACCTCAAGAAACAGACATGGATTATAAGGCTTCAGGATCGGTCCATGTCTCCCCCGTGTGGCCTCACGAAGTGCAAATAAACTCACTAAATTAAAGCTCGGGTAGCTACATTTTTCTAAGCATTGACATTGCGTGTTTGGTTGTGCAAGTAAAATGTTGTGAACAAATCAAAAAGGCTTGTTTTTATTTTAGATACTTAGGAGCCCGGTGAGTCATTATTTGAGAGTAGATTTTTAAATATTGGTTTCCACACAGTTAGTGCCTCTTAATGGCCAACCTCTTGGCCATTAGAAAGAAATATTTGTTATTTTCAAGTTATTTTGGTTGTTTTTTTATCTTTCCTATATGTGGAAGTTGCATATTTGATATTGTCTTATTCTACTGAAGGTTTATAATAATACACTCCTCTGTCAGCTCACAAATTATTTTGGATTTATGTTTCTATCTGCTACAGAAGCTGAGATATCAGACGTTGGATTTTCAAGAAAACTTCAGGTTTTAGGGTGTGGTTCTGAAGTCAGCCATAGGTTTTACAGGGATGTTTTACCAGGCGTTTCAGGCCCAAAGGGTTACCAATGAATCTCATTGGACATTTGAGAAGGTGTACAGCAAACAGAAAACTGAAGCCGCCAAGAAATATAAATATATAAATAACAAAAAGAAAAAAAAACATCGACCAAACATTGGCCATGTTAAACATCGGTATCGGTCCAAAATTTCACAATCGGTGCATCCCTAATTTAAAAATAGTAAATTATTTGTAAAATTAAAATAAGTACGCTTTATTTTCTTCTCCTCTCCCCTACTCTTCTTTCTATCTCTTCCTCTCTCTCACACTTGCTCCCTCTCCCCCTCTCCTCTCCTCTCCCCTCCCAGAGCTTCTCTGAACAGCAGATAGCTTTGCAGTTCTTTCTGAGGCTGTAGCCTAAAAGCTGTTCGCACTTCGTGGAGACATCAAAGAACAGTAGCACTTCTCAAGCCAAGAGTTGTCTGAAGTCCAAAAATCAGATATAATCTGAAAGTCTCAAATCTATAAATACTCATTTCAGAAAGTATTGACACTGAAGAAAACAAACAGGTGTGTGATTATTAGAGAACACGGAGTCATGTTAGAATCCACAGCATGTTGTCCATCTCTACACACCACTCTGACAAATATGAGCTTTAGTAATATCAGGCTCACTTTCTGTTCCATGGCCTGTTACACCTCACTTTAATGTTCTCAGGAACACAACCAGATCCATGGCTAGAATGCATTAGGGAGCTGCATTAGAGGACCGCATGTAGGGAATGCATGTGGGGACTGTATTAGGGGATTGCAAGTGGCGAATGGTCATCTTCAGGGTAGAACTAAAAAACAAACATCTCTTGTTTGTGTTTCAGATCTACAGTGATGAAAGGTTTGTGTTGGGACCAGAACTTAGCAGCAGATAGCACAGCTCATACATAAGGAAAACACATTTTATTCATAAGATTTGCCTGATGAAGGTCTCAGGACCAAAATGTTGACATCTTCCTAACAACAGTGCAGGAACCATTATTCTCATTCATGTGCACTGGGACTCTCTCCTCAACTCCTACGCTCCTGCTCCACGCAATTTATGTGCAAAGTTCTTCTTCTTAATGCATAAGATTATTGCATCTGCCATCTCCCTCATTAGCCCTTACCGTTTATGGAGTCATACCAAAGATGAGTCTGTGGTCTCTTACCTCGCACTTCTTCAGACTCCGACATTCTCCATTGTCGACCTCGTCCTGCTCCGTCGTCATGGATATGGCGGGTCCCATCCCTGACTCCAGAGCCATGTTAGCTAGCTGCTCCTGTCCGGTTAGCTCCACTGTAAGCTGTGCTCCTAAAGACTCCTTGTCAGAGTTCACCAACTCCGTCTTGTCCTTCTTCGCCTTCCCCGAGAGCGCGTCCCGGTCCTTCTTCAGCGGCTGCAGAGTCCTGCTCTTGGACTTGTCCGTTCCTTTAGTGGGGGTGTTGGGGGTAATGGGGGCCTCCCCTGGAGACCGGCCTTGAGCCTCCTTCTTGACTCCATCTGGAACAGGAGCTTTCACCGCCTCCTTAGAGTTCTTACTGCGTTTAGACTTAGATTTACTCTCTTTCCCCTGAGCCGCAGACACAGGACTCACAAACTTAATATTGTCTGGGAGAGCTGCCACTGCGCTGGGGGGCGCCCCCATGGCTCCGTCTTTACTGCTGGACATCTCTAACTTGTCTTTTTCCAGATCTGCGTCTAAGTCGATGATGAGGTTTCCCACGCCGATGTCCCACTCATCCCCGCTGTCGTATGTGTCCACCGTGCTGGAGTCCACTTTGCCGCCTGCAGAGCCTCCGCTGACAGACATCGTCCCACCGGAGGCTCGTGCGGAGGTCGTCCAGCTGCAGGAGGCTTCTCAGGGCAGGTCCCCAGGACACCGCCCTGCTGGCCTCATCTCCACCTGCACACAGAGATGGAATTACAATACAATGGTTTATCTCTGGTTTAGTCTCTGGAGTCGCAGGATGTCTCATAAGTCTGAGATTCACTTTGAAAGTGGGCTGTATGGCAGTTTTTTTTTAAAGTCAACGAGAGTGACAAGTAGGTTGTGTAAGGCAAAACTGTCACGAGGTGGGTCCAAAACAAACACTTAACATCAGAAAATTGATCAAACTCACCACCAAGCAGAGTAATCTTTGCTAAGACAATGGCTCTTATTGTTGACTGTTAAAATAACTGCTAAAATGTTTAATTGTTAAAGCATTTCTTATTATTGAAATGAAAAATAAAACATTTTAATTTCAGCTTTATGAATTCTCAGGGATAACTCAATTCAAATGAATGGTTTGTGCTCAGTGGCACTTTGTGCCGGCACGGGGGTTGAAAGATTAGCGGAACTCCGGCTGGAACTCGCAAAGATCCATGGGAAACTTGGCTGTATTTGGGCATCGTCTGGTCATCCCGGTTCTGTGCAGTGGATGAACTCCCATGATGCGTTGTGCCAAATACGTGTGTGTGGCTCTCATGCACGCGCACAGAGGGGCCCGGCCGCGCTCTGACCAATCAGAACTGCTCATCAGAGTGGGAGCCAGACGGGCAGAGTTTGTGGCACTAAAGTGTGGATTTAAAGAAAACGAAGGATTTAAGAAGAAAAAAAGTTCAGGATGACAAGGGCCACTAAAATCCCCACAAAATCCGACCTTTATGAAAGCTGTAGGTTCTCTGTCAGCTGAGGTCACGCTGTTTTAGTTTACATTGAGTTCTATGGGGAAAATTTCTGGGTGGCCCACGTGAATTTAGGCTTGTCTGCAGTACCGCAAGAATCCCCCGAGCACATGGGTTCTTCAGCTCCAAGCTAGTAATACCCTATCCAGTTAATATAATAGATCCATGGGGATAACACAGTGCAGTACGTGTAGTGGTATTTGGTATCGGCAAGTACTCAAAGTAAAGTACTCGTACCAGTTTTGAAGCTAGTGGTATCGATGCATCCCTAATATATTCATATTCTAAGTAAGTAAGTACACATAATTATATAGCGCCTTTCACAGACCAGAGTCACAAAGTACTTTACAGTGAGGTCGCCATACAGGAGGCGCATGCAAGACCTATTGCGCATGTTTTTAGTGGTAAGGGAAACCGGAGCATGGGGAGAACATACAATCTCTGCTCAGAAAGGCCCTGTTCCGACAGGGATACAAACACAGGACTAGGGCTGGGCAATAAATTGAATTTAGGCAATTAATCGGCTTTTATAATATGAAAATCATGAAATCGAATGAAGGATATTTTGAGAGTTCCAGCAGCACATGAATTATACTTGCAATATCAGCAAAGTCTGTACAAGACTTTTATAATACGTACTGGGGGAAACAAATCAAAAATTATTTTTGAAACTTGAATATTGAGCAAGAAGATCAAACAAATATTTTCAAGGGCAAAGTCTGTCTTCTGTGACTTTAATGAAAATCAATTAAAAATCAAAATCGCCCAAAGCAGGAAAAATTAAAATTAAAAAATAAATAAAAATCGAGATTTTACTTTTTTGCCATATCGCCCAGCCCTACCCAGGAACTTCTTGCTGAGAAGGGAGTGCTCGCCACTCAGCCACCGTGCCGCCCAATTCTATGCACTGACTAAGACCACCAGTCTGTGGAAACATGCTGACGACCCATTTTAAGATAAGGTCTTTCCTTCTAAGCCTCATTCCAAAAGTTATAACCTTTACTCAATAACAACAACATTGTATTTGTGTGTGTTGCTGATGAGTAAAGTTGATTAAGTCTGACAAAGCACCACTAAAGACTCCTTTAGGACACTTATCATATGAATGAAGTGAGCGACCTCTGACCTCTGAGAAAGAGGCCGGGAAGGGGGGTTCTGGTTAACACTGCAGGAAGCCAACAGTACATGAGTTCTACAAGGTCTACTATTAGCATACACATTAGCATTAGCCTAAAAACAGGGGCCCTCTGGGCATGAGCTGAGTGCAAGAACTGGGGTGGACATTTTAGGTCATTTGGAGATCACATGACTAATAAGATCACAGCTTTTGAATTCTCTCCAATAGTATCTCTCGTAGTTGTATTAATATTTCAACAAATACAACTAAATCATTATTGGGTAAAATGGGGCGAGTCGGGGAACAAGGATGTTTAGGACGATTTCACCAAGTGTTGAAAGAAACAGATTATTTACTAACATCACACCTGTAGACAACCCTAACCATATTCTTCAAAGACCCATATTATACTTTTCTCTGGTTTTTAAGCATTATTAAAGGGCTAATTGGCCTCATACACATGCCCAGGGTTAGTTTATTCATTGATTGCCTCAAGCTTTACTTAGAGAGCAATCTTTCTCTATCATTCTTGAGAGGGAAAGAAACTGCTTGTTTCAAATCGTGCCGTGCACCAATCCGTGACATCAGAAGCCCGCCTCCTGAAGGTGATTGACAGCGGGGAGAAACAACCAGCGAATCAGCGCAGTCTATGATCAGTGCATGCAGCCTCTCTCATGCGTGTGGTCCATAGACAGTAAATACACGTCTCTGCTTTTTTGTGCATCATGTCAACTTTGAGAAAATGTGTTTTTGGGTGACGACAGTATTTGGCCTGAAAATAAAGAATGAGGCGAATGGGGATCGACTACGGTTACCATGAAATGGGACTTACTCAACCTGGTGTTATTCCCAACATAAAAGACACAAACAGGCGCACAATGCAACTAACTCGCTGTCCATCACTGTTAAAGGAGCTCTACCAGTTTCTGCAAGGTTTGAATGTTTAGCACCGCCCCTCAACTCGCTCACAGGCTTCTCATTTCCCCTACGCTCTCCTGCCACAGAGCCATCAGTTTTATTTGCGATCTAATATGAAAACATTAGCATGATCGCAACTTCTTGTAAGCTGTACAACAATCACTGATGAAATGGTGCAAAAGCAATGCACTGCTAACAAAATATATTCAACTGAATGATTACCGCTAGTTTCGCGTCCAAATATAGTCCGAGACAGTCCTGCACCCGCAGGTCTCTCCCATAGACAAGTCTCTCCAGAGGATATGATAAAAGTTAGCTATATGTTCACCCGGGCTTGATTTCTTCTCTGATCATTTTTTTGCTTTAGTTCCCTCTTCTCTTCCTCACTGTTGTGTCGTTTGGGCTGTTTTGCTGTGTCTGCAGTTACAGCCAGAGGAGTTACAGCCAATTCTGCTATCATGCTACCGTGTTTAGCAGCGCTGTAGAAGCTAGAGGATGCGGCCTGTTCGCTGCTCGTTCTGTGAGTGGAGAAGAGTGGGAGCCTTGCTAACTCTCTACTTAGCACTTTTTACAGCCTGAATTCATACAAACAATGAGCTCAAGTTTTCAATTCAATTACGGATTATAATACAACTTGTAAGTAGTAATAAGCATTTTTATGAACACATTAAAAAAATATATATATAATCGGTTATAGCTTAACTAAATAATAAGGTTTTGATTCTCGATCGAGGACATAGGGCTATGTGTGATGGATTGCCATTGTTGGTAAAAGTTTATTCTCAGGACAGAAATGACTATGTAACAGCAAAAGCTTAGTGAGAGGCTACATCACTGTGCGGGCGGGAGGAGACGGGCTCACAGGCAAAGGAGCACAGATCCAAGCATTTCTCATTAGGCGACATCACCTCTATACACAAAATGCCTATAATACAAAACGTTTTGAGTGTTGTATGGTGTATCACCAAAATAATTTGATTATTATTACACATGTGCATAGGATGGACTGTGAAAAAATAAAAAATAAAAATATAGCACCTTTTAAAATATAAAACCAAGACTGCCTGTTGTTTGTTCTGTTTGATTTTTCACAACATTTTACTTTTGCACACATGGGTCAATGATGAGACACCCACTTTTATTGGCCATTCTGTTAAAATACATTTTGAAATATATATTTTTGTATAAATAAAAATATATTTAATAAAACATAGTCTAGTTGCCTAGCATGTACTGTTTCTATTTGCATCTTTTTTAGATTAACAATAAGGTTTTTATGCCAAAATGTGGTTAAAAACTTACCCTTTCTTTAAAAAGATTAGATTCTAACAATTTAGTTTGTAAAATAACCTGGCATAATTGTTAACTATTTATATTAATGATGGATACAAATATACTCTTCAACCAACATCCAGTCAGCCATTTTGCTCATATTGCAAAGACAAATCACATGACAGTAAGTGACATCAGACAGCAGGACCCCTGATGAAACACTACCGGCCTCATGTCAAGGCCTCTATGGCTCTTCAAAATATGAAATAATTTGACATATTTTGCACATGAGGATGTATACAATGAATATTAAGCTGAAAATGTATGTACCGTTTGACTCTTGCTCCAAGCGTTACTATTTGAGGTAAACTTCGATGGATTTCACTCATAATTAGACTATATCTATTTATTATATTTAGTTACATATTTATATCTTAAGTCATATAATTACTTGTGAACATTAATATGCAGCTGTAAAATAAATTAAATGACTGATGGACTGATGTAAAGCAACAAAACTCACATGTATGTGTTTGTTCCATAGACTGTATATATTAACGGACAGAGTCTCGCCTATCTCCGCCGTTCTAACCAACAATCCAAAATGGCCGCGAGTGGTCCCGCCCACAAGAAAATTGTGAAAAACGCATCTGCGCATGCAACAGCCGGCGCAGCTCCATTCATTTGAACGAGAGACTTCCAAAATTCACAGCGAGTAAACTAGAGTGGACCAAAAAAATCCACCCCCCTCAGCATTGACACACATGTGGAACGGAGCTTTGGGCCAAGAGCCAACTTTTGGTCCATCCTGTAAAGACGTTTTTGAGAGGTCTGCC